GGAGAGGTGACCTAAGACAGGGAGGCCATAGTGGCGGAGGGGAAGGGGGATGATGCTCCCCGTCCCCGGGGCTATCCTTGAGGAACCTCACTTTTAAAACAAGACAGGGGGAGAGATGCGGGGGCCTGAGGCCAGGGGTGAGGCAAGATGGCGCCTAGAGGAAACGTCCCGGGCATGACCAGACTTGTTTGGAAGAATTGCCATCCTGGCAGCATGTGATCACCTTGTGAACGCTATGCTCTGCAATGAATAAGGGACTGCATGCTCAAGTTGACCTTTAAAATGATTGGACGCTCTGCCAGGGAGGGGTTTCCCCGCTTGTGGTTTTTGCCTTTATAAGCTCTGTGACGCCTGCAATAAACAAGTTCCTGCTTGACTGGCTCCCTGTCCATCTGACTGTCTCCCAGGGAGGCCGCGGGTAACAGTGGACAGCTCACCTCCCTTTCCCCAGCTCCTGTGTCGGGGCAGGACCCCCGACAGGTTATATAGCTGACAGGTGTTCACATAAATTCTTGATTAAATCCAAGTTAGAAGGGCTGGCAGCCTGGACTCTGGCTTGGAATCTAACCAGTTCCTTATGTGGTTAGAAATGACGGTTTTGCACTTTCATTCCAGACAGGTTTAACTAACTACACCCCACCAATGATTAGTTAACATGTGAGTGCCCTAAGACAAAATAGACCCTAGATAAGGTGTTTAGTTGCTATCTCAGTCATTTGGATTGCTATAACAAAGTACTTTAGCCTGGGAAATTTATAAACAACAGAAATTTACTGCTTACAATTGTAGGAGCCTGAAAGTACAAAATGAAGGATTCGACAAATCTGGAGTCTGCAAGGGCCTGTTCCTCATAGATAGTGCCTTGGGTGGGTCCACGGGCCTCTTTTATAAGGGTGCTAAATGGCCTAATCACCTCCTGAGAGCCCCACCTTCACTACCATCACCCCAGTGACTGATAACATGAATCTGAGGTTGTGTAGTGGGCATGAGAATGACCATGAAAGCAGCTATAATCCAGCATCTCAGAGGGCTTCTACCAACACAAAGCCACCAAGAGACGATTCTGCACTGATGGAAAAAGTAGCACAGATGTGACGATGACCCAGAAATGCTCTGCTGGTGCTCACACCCCCATGAACAGGGGATAATAATCCTGAGCCTGAAGTCCCTTTCCTGGGGATGATGCTTTAGGCCTAAGCTTCTAGAATCATACTTTGGCCCCCCAGTTATCTGAAGGTTGTGTTCCTTAACCCTAGCAGAGAAACCTAAACCCTGCTCCTTCCATGCAGACACATAAGGCAACTGCTTAAGCAAAGTACTGCCAACAAGTAGACAAAAAAAAAGAGAAAACTGGAATTTCATGGAGCTAAAGTTATCAGCCTTTCTGAGTGCCTGCCTGCCAAAAAGTATCTAAACACATAGCAGAATTCCATTTGGATCAATATACTATCTTGAACGGAGGGGAGTAGGAAGGAGGCCTCGAGGCTTCACCTACATATACTTACTGGAGGCTTTCAACACCCACAGTATGAAAAGAAAACCAGCAGCTGAGCAACCAAATCAGCTTACATCAGCCCGCAATCCAACATCTTCATAGAGAAAAAACAAGGGTGGGTTTAAATTAATTAATTTTTACTTTATGTGTATGAGTGTTTTGCCTGCATGGATGCAATACATGCAGAGGCCAGAAGAGGGCGTCAGATTCCCTGGAACTGGAGTTATAGAATGTTGTAGCCACCATGTGGGTTCTGGGAACAGGACCTAGGCCCTCTGAAGAGCAGCTGGTGGTCTTAATGGCTGAGCCATCTCTCCTCGCACAAGGGCTTTTAAAATTAAAGTATTAATGTGCTATGTTCATGGGGTTTTGTTCGTTTGTTTGGCTGGTCATGGTTTTGTTACTGCTATTATTATTTTTCTTTTTGTCATAATTGAACAAGAAACCCAAATTTCAAATTGGATGCAATAAGGAGGAGTTCCTTTAAGCTGACATCTCCACTGGCTTCAATGAGATAGCAACTACTGCACAATCTTCAACTCAACTGGTTCCTGTGGAAATTATTAAGCAGCTTTAAGGACTAACTATGCTTTGGGAATTTCCCAAATGTTAGGTTGGTAAATACTTTGGAGCTCAACTTGGACTTTTCCAAACACAACAGAAAGTTCCTTCTTGCCACTGCATTTCCAGGAGGAATTCTATACATCTGAACTAAGAGTCTGTTTATCTGCCAACACCCTCCAGAACTCAACAGTATGTGGTATATGATTACTGGTCTAAAATATTCAAGCAATTCTGAATTATTTATACTTGTGGAAGATGCCAAAGGTTATGCGCTTTGACATGAACCTCATAAACAATGTCCAGCCAGAATTCATGCTGTGTGAATTTGAATAGAAATCTTGTAGCTAAATGGGAAAACACTTGGTTAGTATTTCAGTACCAAAAATACACAGGATGCCTTCCTTCCTCAAGTGTCATACTGGGAGGAAAATAATTTAAGAGACTCTAACTCTCCTACCTTACTTTCTGAAAAATGCCAAACAAATCTTTCTGAAAAGCCCTTACCTAAATAAATCAACCAATTATTATTTTAAAGTAGAAAGGAAGACCAAGACACTCTACCATGTCACGTACAAAGTCTATAGCAGATCTGTGTAGTTTTCAGAGTTCATAAATTATAATTTATCTAACTTTGTGGCAGTTAATTTATGAATAAGTTGCATTATAAAACTTTAATTTTATTGTACTTTCACTTCAAAATTAAGTGGATTTAAAATTAAGCAAAAAATTAAGTTTGCATTCCTCAATGCTGCCGGTAAGTCTACTAGAGGGGGAAATAAAGGTAGATATCCAACCCCAAAGACTCCTACCAAAGTCAATGACTTGTCAGGAAGACGTGGAACTCAACATACAGTTGCACTAACAGCTATAATTATAGTGAAATATTACAAAGCTACCCAGATAAGGGAAAAGAAACAGGAGGCAAGGTCCCCGGGAAAGCAAGGGCAAGCATCCCAGTGTCCTCTCAGATGTGCTGGCTTCCCTAGCAATGAATTGTAACAACATGTGTTAGACTCATCCACCCAGAAGCTTTTGAGGTCCTCAGCTCTCAGGCTTGTTATTAGAGGCTGGTCAGTCACAGAGCCACTCTTTCCCTTCCGTGTAGGAAAATCCCAGCTCCCTAAAGAAAGCTGGTATTCACCACAAATGACTGCACAGTTTAGACACAGGTCCTCTCATCCAGGACTAGTATACAAACATTCCCATTCTAAGTCCTGCCTCTAGTCAAGTGCCAAGGTCACAGCCAGCCCATCCTAAGGAATCCAGCTATGTTGACTAGTTGGAGTACCCCTTGTTCTGACTTCAGCTTCTCTAAAAACCTAAGCACTGTACTGACCACCATGCTCCTCTTGGTGAATCTGCTGATATTCTAAATTATTAATTTGTCTTAAATTCTCCCACCTCATTTCAAGGCTTTCCTATTTCTTTAAGTTCTTTCACATCCAGTACAATTTTCCTACTGTCTTGGCTCATTTTAAAACAGGTTTCAGTCTTCTTTCATTTCTGCCTTTCTGGTAGGTATGTTGGGCACAATGATGAAAGTAACTACTACCCATACACAGAATAATACAAAATACAGATTAAAAAGTAAGCCCATTACAACTCCACTCTTCCATGTCCTCTGCAATTTGTTGTCTTCTTTCCTTCTCCACTGGAATACGCCACTGCTCTGAACCTGCCCATTATCACTATGCATCTTTGTACCTCCCCTGTGTGTGCTCTGTTCAGATGCTTCTAACTTCATACAATGGGATGTGCTATTTTCACCTATTTTATTTTGGCTCAATATATTGTTTCCAAAGAAGTGATAGCCTGTTTTATTGAAAAACCACATAGGAAAACACACACCAAAACCATTACAGTAAGATTCCTAAGGAACCTGCTTTTCTTCCACTCTCCCCAGTAACCTTGAACCAGCACAACTTTGTTACCCATCTCAGATGTTGCCATTTTATGGAGCTAGCTCCTATCAGCCCAACCACCTATGGAGAACAAGAAGGATCCTACTTATCCAGGAACTACAGATCAGGATGATTCTTGACACAGCCAAAAGACAAGCTGGTGAAGGTGGAACATAGAAAGGCGCAAAAATTACACCACTGTCTTCTTTTACTCATCAGTCATTAACCTGGCATATTCTTAGACTGTCAATTATCAGGTCTGAAATTTATGAAGTCTACAAAGTTAATTATGCTTATGAAAAGCCATCTATGTTACTAGCTGGCCCCTTTATCCCAGCTTTCTGATCTATAAAATAACTGAAACCAAGGATAAGAACAAATAAAATGTGAAGCTTTTTTTTCCTCTTTCACATGTCATTTGTGTATCTGGTGTGCATGTATGTAGCATGTTCCCATGTGTGGATGCACTTGTGTATGGGTGAGTGTATATATGCATGTGGAGGCCCAAGGTTGAAGGTGGGAATCTTCCTCAAGTCTTCTTTCACTATATTCTTTGAGGCAGAGTCTCTCAATCAAACCCAGAGTTCACAGACATAGCTAGTCTTGCTAACTAGCTTGCCCTGAGGATCCCCAGTCTCTGCCTTCCAAAGCTGAATTTACAAGCAGCTTTGCATTCATACAAGTTCTAAGGATCTGAACCCTGGTCCTATTGCTCTCACAGGAAGTGCTTTAGCCCCTGAGCCATCTCCCCCTACCCCTACCCCACGCTGAAAACAATGAAATTTTATGAATTCTTTTTAATACTATCTTAATCTGGTTAGAAGCAGCAAGGTTCTACAGTGAATACTGTATATCAAATAGTGATAACATGAAAACAATTCGACAGAATTCTATTAATATTCATTACTCTTCAGCAACAATATGGAGCACTTCATTCCCGTACCCTCCTAAGCATTCTATCAATAACAAGCAAGCTGCTGTGCACATGACATCTGAACGTCTGACTGTGATGCTCCTCCATCTTTTTGAGACATACTTACTCAGGTTTGGACAGAGTCTTTTCCAGGTTAAATTCCTTGAGGTATCTTATTATGGCAGCCAAGGAGCAGATTACAGGTTTCTCCAAGTTAATGACACCAGAGAAACTCTGAGAGCCTAAAACAGAATATATATCCTCAATATTATTACTATTAATAAAAGTACAGTAAGTACTTTTATTAACAATAATTTATATCACATATTCAAAACTTGCACTTTGGAACTAAAGTGTTATACAAATAACTTATGGCATGGGAAAGAAAGGTATTTTTCAGTAAAATGAATCTTTATTGGAAAATAACATTTCTTTCAAAACAGAAAAATGCTCAAATTCTTTTACCATAAATACTTCAAACTATATGTCAAGGATGTGTGTGTAAGAAAATAAATTGGCAAATCTTTTTAAATAGTAAAAAAAAAAAATCACAATCTAAATAAACATCCACATGGTAACAGTTAAATAAATTCTGGCACGTCTGGATTATTATGTACCTTACTTTAAAGGTACTACTGAGAGCAACCTGAACTAACATAGAAGGCTGTCTACAGCACACTGCAAAGGCCACAGGCAGTGGAGAGTATAACAGCATTCCATCTGGATACCTTGTACCCATGAGATTTTTTACGTGCGGAGGAGGGGGTGTTGAGAGAGGGTCATATTGTGTAGCCCTAGTCTGGAACACACTATGTAGACCAGTCTGGCCTTGAACTCACAGAATTCCACTTGCCTCTGCCTCCCAAGTGCTGGGATCAAAGGTAGGTATCACCATCCCTGGCCCTATGGGGTACTCTTAAAGCAACATAAGAAATTGTTTTTTAAATGAGATCATTAGACTACTTCCCTTGAAAAATTGAGTCAACTCACCAAGAGCAGTTGTCAAAGTCCTTAAGCACAACGAGCCAGGCCTTCCATGATCCATCCATCTTCTACCTCCTCTTTCCTGCTAAACTCATCTCCTAATCTCCCCTCAGTTACTCTGTTCCAGTGTGCAGACTCCTGCTGTTCCATATAACCATGCCAGTACCCCTCAAATAAGGCATTTTGTATTTAACTTTGCCTCTGCCTGAAATACTATTCTTGTACATGCCTAGATAGCTCTTCCTCTTAATTTTTCCTTCTCTGTTCATATTTCTGTTTAAGTGTTGCATTTTCAGCAAAGCTTTCCTATGCTGTCCTATTTTAAAGTTCAACACCATCTTCTCTGCTTATTTCCTCCTTAACCTTTATTACCTCTTAACACACTAACTAGGAATATTATGTAGATACAGGTAGGCTTGTTCATAAGACTTCTTAAGGGTAATGCCAAACTGTTAGTGATTACCCCTTGGACAGACAAGGGAAAGGGCAGGGAAAAACCGGAGGGCAGAAACTTCTCCATTTTTCTTTATACACAACTATGCTGTTTGAAGCTTTTCTTTTTCGGTTTTTTTTTTTTTTTTTTAAACAGTAAGCACTTAGCACTTAACTACTTTTAGAAAAGGATCACAAAATGCACTTTGGATATCAGTATTACGAAATACTTTAGAAATAAAGTATACCTGTTTATAAAATTAGCGTGTAAATACCTAGGACCTTCTCCTTCTACTGAGAATTGACTTAGTGTTCTAGTTTTGTTTCCCTGGAAAACTGGTAAAAATGGAGTGCCACTGTGTTAGGAGTTGTCCTGTCTATGGTAAAAATGCTCTGAAGTCAATGGGTTACATCTGGCTTGGGAAGAAGTATAAATACTCAAATCCAGAGTGTTGGCCTTCCCTGAGTGCACTGACTTATCTAATGTGTTCTTTACAGAAACTTGAGCAAAAGATTGCTGAAGGCATGGAACTTCTAAGCCAGGGCAACTCATACCCACCAGATGAGCCTGCTTCCCTCACATATCAGTTGTCACCTGGAGAAGGAGGAAACTTAAGCTCCAGTGGTGATATGGACTTCTGTAAAGGGTGCTATGAGCACAACTCACACTGAGAGGCCTGCAGTCAGGTGGTTTTCCATTCAAAAACCTTTAACTGAATCTGAGGCCCAAAATGGATCATGGTGTCTTATGATGCAGTCTTGTACTTATCTGGACCAAGATAAACCTTTAATATTATTTCATACTGGAGTCAGAAGTGGGATATGGCCTCAGAGATGGATTAAATCTGGACAAAATATCATGTGATTTAAAAGGGTATGCAGGGGATGGAGAGATGGCCTGACAGATAAGAACACTGGTTGCTTTGGCAGAGGACCAGGGTTCAGTTTCCAGTACCTACATGGCAGCTAACAACCATCTGTAACTCCAGGTCCAGGAGATTCAACATCCTCCTCGGGCATTGTATGACTTGGGTGCCCTTACATACATGCAGGTAATACACTCATACACATAAAATAAATAATAAATAAAATATTTTTTAAGAAAATAAAGGGGTATGCAAGCAGACACTGAAGACTAGGTGAGGGGAATAATACAATACTGAGGCTTAAGTAGGGGCTACAGAACGGACTAATGATGAAGGCTCCATAGCATGTGGCAAGGACAAATTTCCTCCCTATGGGGTATAATGAGGACTAGAGAGAGGACAAGTTTGTATCAAGAGAAAAAAATGTCTACTCACCTTATCATGCTTAAAATAGATGCCAACATAAGCTAGATTGGCAGGTACATGGGATACAAGCAAAATCAGGCACTAATACCTGACAGAAAATGTGAATGAAACAAAAGATGGTTACCTAACATGTTAGGTCCTCTCACTGATGTTCTGGTACTTTAAATCTGGTAAACAACCTTTCAAAATGCTAGCCTTCACCAAAATATTTATCAAATATTCTGTAAAGCAATGATAGTGATGAGATATCTTTAAAGATGAAGATGAAGAAAAGTTGGTCAACAACTCCTTTCACTCAAGTGAATCTGCATCTAAATGATCAGGTGACTAAATGGTCACAAATGAAACAGAAAACATTACAGAGGTGTTTGTTGTTATTGGGTTGGTTTTGTTTAGTTTTCTTCTGTTGAGACGAAGCCTTACCCACAAGCCTAGGGCAGGCTAGACTGGAGGTCCTGCTGCTTCAGGCTCCTTAGTGCTGGGTTATAACAGGCACATGCCACCAGGCCCAGCTGTAGTGGTGTTCTAGATGAGCCCTGAACAGGGAGCTCTTCCCCTGGCTACTCACTCTAGTGGCTTCCTACATGGCACTAAACTAAAAGTCACGCTCACACCTTTATGCCATCTGAAATCAGTGTAATTTGAGGACATATGGCTAATATGAACAAAATACTTACCTTTGCTGTCAACTACCTCATTGGCATAAAATTCTGTAACTGCCTGGAAAGCATGACTGAATTCAAAATACACATTATCCATTCTTTCTACTCGAATTCTGTCATCTCGCATACTGAAAAGAAAAAACAAAAATTTCAAAGAATTATCCATTAACTTGAATTATCTACATTAAGATGCCAGTTTAAGCAACAATAGCAGCAAAAAAAAAAAAAAAAAAAAAAAAAAAGGCAGATTTGTTCCTTATTGTCTCCCATGATGGGATCAGGGGCTGAGGATAAGACTTCAAGTTTCTCTGAAAAAGGCTCTCATTTTATAAAACACTATAATTGTTACTTATATCTACTGGCATTTTTATATCACCTAGCACAATGTAACTACTTTATATTTATTAACAAAAAGAATTCTGTGAAATTAGAATCAAATGAACTATAAATTTCAAGGGAGAAAAATTAAAAAGCATTTTAATTTGATTACATCATTTGTTTCAAGATTCTAGCAAATAGAACAAAACATAGTTCATTCTCTGAGGGGCATCTCTGTGGGGCTGGCTTTCTGCTGAGTTCAGTTCTAACATAGTCACAAATATATAGCAAACTCTCTGAGGTCAGTTCTCATGCTCTGTAATCTTTTGAAAATAGAAGTAAGGAGCTGGAGAGATGGATCAGTTCTTAAGAGCTCTTGTAGAAGACCCCAGTTCAGTGCCCAGGACCCATATCAGGTGACTCACAACCCCCTATTACACTAGTTCCAGAGGATCCAATGCCCTGGTTCTGGATTCTATAGGTGCCTGCATGCATGGGGCACACAGACAAGCAGGCACACACACATACACATAAAAAAAAATTCTTAAAATATGAATAAAAGTCTGCAAAAACACAAACAAAATCCCATTACCCATGTTGGACAATGTGTTTTTATTTTTTTATATTCTTAACTCCACATTCCCTCTGCTCTTCCTTCCTTCTCACCTTATTCAACGTCTGTTATCAGCAATAACAGCCTAGAATGAATCCTTCTGTGTTTTTACTATTCATCTGCTCAGATACAAGCATATATATATGTATGCTTACATGGTATTTTCTTCACTGTATTATTTTTATACTTTATTATTTTAAAACTGTATGTCCATGAGTATATTGCCTGCATGTGTGTAAGTGAACCCATGTCATGAAATGCCTGTGGAGGTCACAAGACGGCACCTTATCTCCTAGAACTGGAATCATGGATGGTTGTTAGCTACCATGTGAGTGCTGGAAACTGAACCCGGGTCCTCTGCAAGAGCAGGCAGTGCTCTTAACCACTGAGCCATCTCTCCAGCCTCACTGTATTATTTATTAAAATGAGATGTCTTGATTCCTATTTTCTGACATCTTGTTATCATAAGTAATATTTCTTTAAAATCTCCTCATACAGTGAATATTCATTCTTTTGAAATGGCAGGGAAATGTGTCAAATGTACATAAGTGTTGCAATTTATTCAACCATTTCCTCATTGCTTGATAGTCACTCACTGCTAACAGTTCATTACATGTTACTTTCAGACATTTTTATTTAAAAATAACAGAAAGCTAGGTCAGGCTACGTGGTACATAGCCCTCCTTAATTATATTTGTATGCCACTTTCGTATATAAATACCATCTTGAATTTGATAGGCTTTTTTGCTTTACCACACATTGTATTATTTTACGCTTTTAATTTTATTAATGGTTCTTTGTTAAACCTCTGCAATTTGCTTTGGGACTCAGTATTATTTTTCTAAGACTTACATAGGAGTACTTTATTTCATTTTAAATGGGTCAAAGTATTCCATTATTCTTGCATGGTCTTCTAAAATGGAACCTTGCTTTTCAAATTTAATTTATATATACACATAATATTTTAAAAACCAAATTTTCAGTTCATCTTTTCCAGTTTCACAACAACTTTACTGGGATTCTGACTGGATTGGATATGTAATGAACCAATTTAGAAAGAAATGTTATCTTCAATCCCTCAGACCCACAGACCTCTCTCTCCTGGGTAAGTCAATCACACCCTCCGCCTTGACCCCCCCCCAGGCTCATTCACCCTCCCATAACCAACCCCCCACCCCCCTCACCCCCACATCTCTCCTCCTAGCCTGGGTCCTGTCCCATTCCTTGTCTTGGCGCCCCAGACACCTGGGGAACCACCACTGTTTGCTGATCCTTTGCATCCAGACCAACTCAGTTCCTCCTCAGGTCCCCAGGAACACTGCTTCTGGGCCTGGCCCCACCCTCACCTCCCTCTGCTTTCCTGGGCCTGCACCACCTGCAGGCCTCTCTCCACAGGCCTCCGTCTCCTGGGTAGGTTTGCCCCAAGCCTTGTTCACTCTCCCATCTCCGCCTCCTCCAGTCAATCCTCCAAGCCTGGGTCCTGTCCCATTCCTTGTCTTGGTGACCCAGACACGAGGAAGGAACCAACAATGCTGCCTGATCCTTTGCATCCAGACCAGCACAATTTCTTCAAGGTCCCCAGGGGCTCTCTGGGCCTGGCCCCACCCTCACCTCCTTCTGCTTCCCTGGGTCTGCACAACCCACCAGCCTCTTTTCCTGTACACCAGGGCTGACCTTTCTTCTTACTGGTTCTTTGCATCCAGACCAACCTAGTTGCTCAGTGCAGTCCCCAGGGGCCCTTGTGGCTGCTTCCCCTCCCTATATTCCTTTGTATCACTGGGTGGGACATCCACAAGCTGCCCTAGACCAGCATCTTTCCTAGGCAGGGCTCCCAGGACAGTCCAACCCCCAAATTCCTGAGGCCAAAATTGTTCCTGTAGGAGAAAGCCTGAGAGCATCTGATCGTCATCTGACTTGGACCTCTGTGGGAACTCATGAAGACAAAAGCATTCTGGCCACTCCAATATAAAATCAAAAGAGAGAACTGGAAGCTTAGAGGAACCAGCTTTTCACACTCAAAAAGTAAATCACAAAGACACATAAAGTTCACAAAAAGAAGCAGACCTAAACTTGAAGCCTTGAGTCTCACACAAGAATCAGAAACTACAAAAGAAATTCACATGTCAAAATCACAGAGAAAAATTAATAACATGAAAAACCAAAATAACATATCCCCACCAAATACCAATAGTCCTCTAGAGGAGTACAGTGAGAACCCCCTAGAGATAATGCAGGACATGAAACTCAAAAGAACAATTATAAACATGATAAAAGAATTCAGTGAATCTAAAGAACACACAAACAAAGATATCAAAGAACTGAAGGAAGATAGGGATAAACTTCTGAATGAATTCAGAAAAGAGTTAGAAATATTGAAGAATACTAACGCTGAAATGAAGAAGGAAATGAAAGACTCAGTAAGCCAATTAGAAACAAGAGGAGAAAGCCTCACCAATAGGATGAATGAAATGGAAAAGAGAATATCAAGACTGGAAGACAAAGTAGACGAACTAGACCACTCAAGCAAAGAAATACGGAATATGGAATATGCAGGAACTGTGAGACAACATAAAAAGACCAAACTTACGAATGATAGGCATAGGGGAAGGAGAAGAATCCCAAGGTAATGGCATGGACCAGATCTTCAACAGAATCGTGGAAGAAAATTTCCCAAAATTAAAGAAAGACATGCCCATACAAATACAAGAAGCATATAGAACACCAAACAGACAGGACCAGAAAAGAAACTCTCCATGGCACATCATAGTAAAAACACTAAACATACATAACAAAGAGACAATAATGAAAGCTGCAAAAGAGACACAAGTCACATATAAAGGAAAACCCATTAGGACTACAGCTGAGTTTTCAGTGCAAACTGAAAGCCAGAAGAGGCTGGACCAAAGTATTCCCACTTTTAAATGACCACAGATGCCAACCCAGATTACTATACCCAGCCAAAATGTCTATTATAGTAGAAGGTGAAAGAAAAATCTTCCATGACATAAATAGGCTGAAGGAATTCATGTCCACAAAACCAGCCCTTCAGAGAGTTCTGGAAGCAATATAAAGAGCTGAAGAAAGGAACGACTATACCCAAAGGGTTGTGAAAAGAAATTCAATGAAGGTATAACTGTGGAAAAGTACAGCTATATCAAGAATGTAAACAGAAATAAAAATGACAGGATTCAATACTCATCTTTCATTAATAACTTTAAATATCAAAAGAATGAACTCCCCAGTCAAAAGGCACAGACTAGGTGACTGGATTAAGAAACAAAACCCATCTTTTTGTTGTCTGCAAGAAAAACATCTCACTTTCAAGGACAGACACTATCTTAAAGAGAAAGGCTAGAAAAAAATACACCAAGCAAATGGTACTAAGAAAAAAGCAGGTATAGAAATTCTAATATCTGACAAAACAGACTTTAAATTAAAACTAATCAAAAGAGATATGGAGGGTCACTTCATTCTGATCAAAGGAAAAATAAATCAAGAAGATACTACAATCATGAACATATATTCACCAAACTCTGGTGTACCCAACTTCATAAAAACAATACTACAGGACTTTAAGACCCAGATTAATCCCAACTCATTAATAGTAGGGGACTTCAATACCCCATTGTCTCCATTAGATAGGTCAACAGGGCAGAGAGTTAACAGAGAGACATCTGAATTAAACAATACCATATATCAAATGGACTTAACAGACATCTACCGAGTATTCCACCCAAGCACCAAAGGACATACTTTCTACTCAGGACCCCATGGAACCTTCTCCAAAATCGATCATATACTGGGGCACAAAACAAACCTCAACAAATACAGAAAGAATGAAATAATTCCATGCATTCTATCAGACCACAATGCAATAAAGCTTATAATCAACACCGGAAGAAGCCCTAATCACCAAATGAATACATGGAGATTAAAACAACACACTCCTGAATGATGAATGGGTCAAAAGAGAAATTAACAAAGAAACAAAAGTATTCCTCGAACTAAATGAAAAGGACAATACAACACAACAAACCCTGTGGGACACGCTGAAAGCTGTCCTTAGAGGGAATTTTATACCTCTAAGTGCCTACATCAAAAAATCGGGAAGAACACAAATAAATGACTTAACATTGCAACTCCACATATTCGAAAAGCAACAGCAAACGAAACGCAAACCCAGCACACAAGAAGAAG